TCGATAATTAAGTACTTCTTAATTCGTTATCAAATATGTTAATAGTTTGAAGTTCATTGTAATGCAATAGATTTGGAATACTCTGGAGTTTGTCAATGCACTCAAATTAATGAATAAAGGAAGTATTAATAAGTAAATAGATACATGTTAAGATATTTGAATCCAAAAATAAATATTGAAGTTCTGATGTGTTTCCAATTTCAAACGGAATGCTTCCTGGGATTTTAAAAATTGAAATCCAAAAGCCAAATATTTAAAATTTCAAAATTTATTATCAAATAATAATACTGGAATTAGATAATTAAATTTAAAATATAAAGGTTTTAAATTCCAATATTGGTGGCTCTAAATTTTATTATTAAAATAAGAATGATCATAGAATGACAAACGAATGATGTATCAATTAATTTAGAATATTAAACTATTAAATAAACAAGCTAATGCAGTGCAAAAGGATCAGAAAATGAACCTAAAAACATGTCTATTTATACAATGCTTGGGAATTTAAAAAATCAATAATTCGTTGATTTGCGATCATATAGTTGGTTTAGATGGAAAAATCATTGAGTGCGTCTAACACCAACTTAGGCGGAAATTTTAGAAAAAAAAAACTCTTAGGGTCCGTTTGATTGCAAGAGTGGAATTTAGGTGGAAAGAAAATGAATTACAGGGAATTGAATTGCCTAGAATTGTTTTCCTGAGAATTGTCAATTAATTGTGTTTGATTGGTATAATTTTTCACTTGACAAATATTGAAATTTTGGATCTTTTATTGTTCGTTTGACTTTGTTTTTCAAGGAAATTGTCAATTAAAGGGAAAAAAAATTATAGTTGTCCATAAAATTTATTTTCATTGCCAAAAAAAAAAACCTGGAAACCATTTTTCCCACCAAAGTGGTGGGAAAACCAATTCCACAAAAACAAGGAAAAAGGGGCCACATAGGGGGTGGGAGGAAAATATTTTCCATGGAAAATTTTGGCTATCAAACATGGTAAAAGTGGGAAATAGAATTTCAATTCCAATTTTCATGGAAAAAAATGGCCTATCAAACAGGCCCTTACTGCTTTTTAATTTTCTAATCAAAGTATTTCAGTATACAAAGCTCATCTTTGTACCTGACAAAGAAACACCTAATCATTAATCGTAATTGAAATTGCATCCAATGTCCTCAATCTAACAAATTAAAAGCGAACTAAATCCAATTAATAATGAATTTTAAAATACTGACTAATTATTATAATGAGGCCGTAGCCGC